GTCTTTTTTATATATATCGGGGGGGGAGGGGGGGGGGGGGTCTACAAACAATTCTAAAGTGCCTTTTAAGCTTTTTATCCAAGAAAATACCAAAGATGTGGGCTTGAGCGGGGAAAGATTTTATGTTTGGCTATACAAAATGTGAGCTCAAAAAGAAAATATTAAACTAGACTTGAAACCTGAAAATCAGTATGTTGCATCAACTTATGGATTTAGTTTGAGAAGCTTTGTCTATAAATATGTATTATGCTATTGGGCTATCTGCTGGTAAGGCTTGCCAGTTCACACTTCAGAATATCACCTTTTCTTTTACCCAGAAAACAAGGATGAGTGTGTGGGGGTGGATGGGGGTCGCTCAATATTGGCTTTAAAGCAGACTCAAAAATTCAGGGTGCGCTCATTCGATCATAGCCCCTCCCCCTTGTATTTCACTGTATAATGGTAGTGAAAAAAATGTACATGTGGGAAAAAAAGTGCATACTTACTTTTCACCCTCGGGGGCCTAGGCGAGAGTGGCATCACCATCCTTCCAGCGTGATTCTAGGGAATGTTGAGTAGCCCAAATCTTGTAAGAAGATAATCCGGCACTGTGCTGGAGCGCCATCTTGTGAGATTTGGCCTACTTGGTATTTTCCAAGCCGTATAAACATTGGGGAAGGTAAGTATATTAGGTTCCTCCCACCCCCATGGCTTTTTCAGCTTAATGCAGCATTTTAGCACGGGGAGGGGGCTCTCTATATAAGCAGATTTTGCTTTTTGTGCAAGGTCTGCTTTACAATGTAATATGTCACATTAGGATGTGGTTATGGTGGACTTAGGAGAGAAATGTCAATAAGAATGTCGGCTCAGGCCAGGCCACCTTAGCCTTTTGGAGGGAATATTCAGAATTTTAAATTTAACCTCCAGGCAGATCTAAAACCTTAAAGCAGTTCTGTATACATAAGTACATCATTAAATGTATTGGACTTGTAATCACCCTCTTACAGTCTCTGTACAGCAGAGCTCAGCCCAAGGGAGATAAAGAAGCAGCACAATGAGCCAATACGTTCAAGGGCTAACAAGGAACATGCTGACCCTAACCCTAAGAAAGCAGAGTGACAGAGAGTCAAGCTTATTACCGTGCTGCTTCTGCTTCACTGTCCTTTCATAGGCTTGGGTGGGCACATGACAGCCTGAGCTCACCTAGTAGTGGAGATTGAGAACATTTTAGAATACTAGCCAATTTATAGGCATCATAGCAACTAAATGTCATGAAAGAACTGTTAGGTGTCCTGTAATAATATCCTTTATTTTAGTCTCCTATACTGCACTATAAACATAAAAGGGAGAATTTGACTTGGTGCTGCAGACAAGAACACTAGCAAGGCCATTCTCAAAAGGGTGAAGAGTTTGGGAAGTCAGGAGAAGAGAACAATCTAGGACAACTTCTGCAATTCAGCTCACTTTCCAGTTCAGTTGTGTTGTTCTAGATTGTTCACTTCTCCTGATTCTCCAAACTCTTCACCCTTTAGTGAATAACCCCGTAAAGTGTATACTTATAAAATGTTCACAGAGCGAGCAGCTCTGCAAATGTCTGTGCTGTAGATTAGCAGCACGTTATGGCCACTAGATGGAGCATAGGAAATTCCTAGCCCCTTGGCTCCATCTAGTGGCCATAACGTGCTGAGAACACAGGCGTTTGCAGGGCTATTCGCCCCGCGTTGTTTTATAAGTACACCTCTTAGTCCCTCAGACACCTCTGTTTGTGTAGCCCAGCCACTCTGTCAGCTTCCGAGACTAGATAATTATGTTGAAATCAGCTTTTTACCTTTGTAAGGGAAATTCTAGAATACATGAAAAACAGCCATTCCCTGTACAACATCTTCACCTTATAGTGAGAGCTTATCCTTGCTACAAAACCCTCTGTGGAGCAATGTGGCCGAGTCTCTTCCAAAATCATGCCTCAGATTGTCCAGGACCATGAGCTACAATATCAGGGTGACTTATTTCTACCCGGGAACTATATAACAAGCTTGCAAGGGGAAAGAGAGCAAGTTACAGAATGGCAGCAGTCATAAGAACATCAACTTGTGCCATTGAGAGAACTTACCTAAAAGGAAACATATGAAGAAATAGAAGTTACAATTTCTATTGACTGTTACATATTGTATTTACACAATTCATTTGAGGGCCTCCACATGTATATTGAAGGCAAACCCTATAAATATACAGTATGTGTGTATGTATATATATGTGTACATTCTTGTTACATACAGTAAGGGTAATGGAAGAGTTTCATTTGTTGAATCCTAAAGGTGACCCCCTACTACAGGTATACTAGCTAAATATGCACTGCACCTCTTCCACATTGTACTGTATGTGTGCAGTTCATGTGCAGAAGGATTATATTTTTAACATGTATCGGCTACCAATGTTTTTTTTATTCATGGATTAGCACACGTCATAGCATAAAGAATAAAGAGTCTCCTTAGAGCGTAACCTCCAGATTTTGGAAACAGTCAATTATTTCAGAAAACACAGCTGATTGGTTTCTTTTTTATGCATCAGCAGTCCCCAAGGAGGTTTATATGCGGATTGTTTTCTCTCCCACTGTATGGCAGCATTCTATATCAATCAGGTGTCACTTACGTGTCAGTATGGTGCTTAAAGTTTATATATACCTATATACACACAGAACAGACGTGTAATATTCTGAATCTTTAGTCTTAAGATGCCCATACACCTTACGATTATCGTACGATTTTCGTACGCGATCGACTTTTCGGCCGATAATCGTATGTGTGGATTGCAGTGTCCGACCGACATTACTGTACAATCGTACGACTTTTGACGGTCAAGCATGTTTGAAAACTTTGCTAGATCGTACGATTGTCGTAAGGTTGCTGGCGTTTCCGTCCGTCAAAAGTCGTACGATCTACACTGCGCTTGCGCTAAGGAAAATACGGCAAATCAATCACCGCATTTCGTCCAGGTGCTTTTCGTTAATTACGGCTAAATGATTCTTGCGATCATCGGGGCAGGATGGGGCTGCCCTACGAAAATCGGACGACTATTCGATCATCGGACGAAAAGTTTTGTCCGATAATCGTAAGGTGTATGGGCACCATTACATACCTCTCAAGGATTTCTGAAATATTGACTTTCTTTCACTCCCTGGCAGAAGCGTCCGGCTCTACAACCTCCATAGAGGCCGTTCCCTTCCCTGCCTGAGCCCCGAGTTCAACGCAGTTTCCATTCCATTTCCAAAAGCCATTCTTTTTATTTGATGTTATTTCGATATCTTGCCAATCATATGACCGTTTTATGAGCATTAAGATTAGACAGAAGACATGACAGCCTGAAACTCCTGCCCTGCCAGAAATAACTCATCCCTGAGAGGTAAGGCTGCAATATTGCAGTGAGTATACCTGATGTAGTAACCCATGGCAACCATATTTTACCTTCTTGTTAAATCTGTGGCAGATGAATTGGGATGAATTACTTTAGGGTTCCCCACAATGAGCATTGCTCTTTGCCTTAATAAGCTTGTGTGTTTTCACCTTCTGTATTGTCTTTGAAATGTGCTTTTCTTTCTTTGTTTAATGTTCTGTTATCAGTGAAATATATTGTACCAAAGAAATCATGTCCAAAGTATGTTTGTATTGTTTGAATACACCCAGTGATTTTTTTTTAATATATTAAAGTTTGCAAAATCCAAAGATGTAAGTCTTCCATAAACTGGGTGTCTCCAAGAGGTGGGTTCAGAGGGTGACGACTCTATCCTGTATTAGAGGAAGGAGCTGCTGGTATGTTAAAGTTGGATCTATACTGTACATGTCTATTTGTGTTGTTGTTCAAATGTAAAAGTTGTCACCTGCACCGAGGTCCAATGTATCAGCTGGTCTTTATTAGACGATGAGAATACATGGTGTCACTAGTGAACAGCAACGTTTCAGAACCATTAACGTTCCCTTCACCAGCCAAACAGTAACTATGTCACCTTGATGAAGGGACTGTTCATGGTTCGGAAATGTTGCTGATCACTAGTGACACCATGTATTCTTAGCGTCTAATAAAGACATGCTGATACATTGGATCTTGGTGTGCGGGTGACAACTTTAATACCTGGATTCACGCAACGCCATCCGCAGGTCCTTCCAGCACCCATTTAAACATATTAGGATTCCGGTCTGGAGTGCGATGAGAAACATGCTGTATTTTTTTTAAATCAACCCCAACCCGGGGGCTGAACGAAAGAAATAGAAAAGATTCCTCCATTAAAGAGCGTTAATAGACGAAGCTGACGGCTGCTTTCAGAATATCGCTGCTGAGAATTTCAGCTGATCGAGGGATGCCGGGCTGAGGGGTGCTGACAGCGGCACCCACTGCGCCAGTTTCTGATGAACCGGCCGAAATTCGGACCGTGTGTACCCTACTGAACGCTGGAATAACACACTTACAGTGAGTAACGGACTCCTTATGTCCTACATTAGGCCCCTTTCACACAGCTGCTCTGATCAGGTCCGCCTGTCAGTTTTTTGGGTGAACCTGATGGGATGCTCAATGCAAATCTATGGCCAGCCGTGTGTAAACGGATGGGTGTGCGTTTACAGCAGGTTACCACCCCCCCGGCCGGATCAGAGATCTGTTTCGCCGGACTGGATTGGGGATAATCTGATGTAAATGGACATCCGATTTCACATAGATACACATGAGGTCCGGTAATTGGAGTTTTATCTTCCATTGCAAGGTGGAGGAAGAAACTGTACGGACACAGATGTCACAGTGGTGACATCCACTCCATACTGCTATGAACAGTAGAGGATCCATGCACGGAACCTGTGTGAGAGGGGCCTTAATGTGCAAAAAGGAATATAACCTTTTTTTTGGCAAAGCAGAGCACCCCGGCATGAGCTGCTTCTCCTTTGTGTATTCGCAATGGAGGGCTCAACTTCTGGATACATGCCTTGTCATATATTGAGGTAACAGGCATACGTCTGAATGGATCCTAAAAGAGTATGACCAACCCCCTTGGTTACATGGTTGTTGAGGTTGAATGAAGACACAGGTCTATGGAGTTCCACGGCAAGAGAATGAAAGTTGGTGCTCGGCCCCCTGGACATCCATCGGGTCCTAGACGCCCGTCTCGGTTTCCTTGTGGATAATCTGGCTTTTCGTGTTCAAATACAGCGATGCTCTATAAATGAGTTCAGTAAAAGGAGAACATTCTTTAAAGAACACTTCAGTCGCTTCTATTTATTTAAACACAACTGAATGGAATGTTTTGAAGGATTCCTTTCCTCCAGTGGAGACAAATGTAAAAAGCACATGAAATGTATCATTAAAAAGAAACGTATGTGCAATGCTTACAATAAACGTAATGCACAAAATAAAACATAAATAACGAGGAGACAGTGTACAGCATAAACTCCATGGAATGTATTTATAAAAAGTTTGAAGAGCCCTCCGCTGCAAACACAACATTTACATCCGATCTGTGGGAACAGGACAAAGCTGAATGTTTTCTTGTGCAGAACGAATTAGTGATGCACCGAATAGAAAATTTGTGGCCAGATTTTGCCTATAGTACTTTTTTCGGCCATCGATAATTAGGCGCATCCCTAGAACTGATGTTATTGGTGGAAAATATCGCAATATGGCCACTAGATGGAGCCAAGGAGCATAGGTAATAAATAGCTCCTTCCAATGCTCTCAGCTCCATCTGGAGGCCAGAATACAAGATTTCCCAACAATTACATTCATTCTGCACCAGAAAACATTTTCAATTTGCTCTATTCGCACAGAATGAATGTCAATTTCAGATTTGAGGAAGGACGGCTCTGCTTCTTATAAATAAACCTCTTTGAGTCTCAAACATAAAAAAGGAGCTTCTGTACTTTACCAACCAGATTCTCACTTCCATTCCCCCATGCAAACATAAATAGGAGAATCTGATATACAAGCAAAAGGACCTGTTTCTTTACACACTTTTATACATGAAGTCCTATATCTATATCCTTTAGTGCAAGATCCCATTATGGAGTCATCTTAGCCTCAAACTGCTGAATCTCTTTGATCTCAGCCGGAGTCCTGAGATATTGCTCTATTTCACTGTCCAATATTTCCTCATCTCCAGTGATGTGCTGGTCTTCCAAAAAAGCACTGCTGTAACTTCGTTTCTTTGCTTTCATCATGCATGGAGGGAGAAAAGGAGTGGTACGGCTCGGCTGCTCAGAGGCTGCGGTACGGCTCGGCTGCTCAGAGGCTGCGGTACGGCTCGGCTGCTCAGAAGATAAGCCCGGTGCTTTAGGATGTCTCCCAAGTGCTGTATCACAGTCTTCTTGTTGAGCGACAGCATCTTTAGCCAGGGCAGCTGTTGGGCCAGTTTGAGAAATGTGTCTATAAATTCATTCAGTCGCAGAGGTGCTGGATTTGGAAAGTCTATTTCACACAATTTGCAAAACTGAGTTAATGTGCAGGAGAGGCGCTGGGCAGGTTTGAGGGACTGCCAGGAAAGATAAGCAGCTGCCGTGATAATAGGGATAGGGTGACGTCCAGTTACCAGCCAGGTTTCTGCAGCCAGTTCCACTATGTGTAGTGCTCGTTGTAATACATTGTCCAGATTCTCGACATATTTGGGAGGAGCAGTCGGAGCCTTCTGGAATAACCTAAGACTGCGGAGAAACATGTTAGTGATACTGGATGTAACCTTAGCTTAAAATAAACCATAAAGGAAAAAGAAATACAATACAATGGATGAGAATGAAAATAGACTTCGTGTTTCCATAGACTTTAAAGCTAGACCCAATTCTACACATTGAAATGACCAATCACACCTGCCACTGGCTTTTATAATGAGATTCCTAATTATTTACCTATTGCAGTGACTCTTCACCAGGTCCTGTAGGCTCAAAGATGGGATGTCAATCTTCAGAGCTAGTATCAGCTTTCGGAACATTTCGCTGAAGAGTTCGTCTTTTGAGTAGAGCAAGGAGGAGATGGTGCCCATAGTGAGAGGCCAATGATGCTGCCGGCATGTTACATACACACAGCACCCCATAATGGCTTCCTTCTTCTCCTGACTAACAAAGTGGCACATAGGGTGGTAGAAGATCTGTTCATAATACGACACTGCAGTGTCTGCAAAGGTGTCTGGAAGCCGAAGGACTTTGCAGAGATTTCTGACACGGATGATGCCTAGTGGACACAACACGGACAAAAATGACACATTTAAAGGTGAACTCCATCCAGGCAGATATAAAAGATCGCTCTTCTACATTACACGAATACATCCTCAAATTATTCCTTTAAATGCTGGCAGTAAGTACCGGTCACTACACATAACACAGTTCAGCATGCCAATTAAGCCTTATTTGTTTGAAGGCTCATATACACTGAGTGGCCAGATTATTATGACCACCTGACGTTTGTAGGCAAATTAGCTATAATTTTGCGCTGAAGTTGCTAGAGGGCCAGACCATTATAAATAGGGAAGCAGGTTGTTTACCACGACAGTAGAAGTGATTTGTTTCTGAAGATATGGGTAAACAATGCGATTTAACAGCCTTTGAACGTGGGATGATTGTTGGCGCTCAGAGCCATGGAGCGAGTATCAGCAAAACAGCAGAATTCGTTAAATGTTCAAGAGCAGCTGTTGTTAAAGTGTTTAAAGACTGGACTGTCAGCTGAAAATCTGGGTCTGAACGTGCGAATTGTGGCCGTCAGCGACTAGTCAATGTTAGGGCAGAACGGAGAGTGGCAAGACTGGTACAAGACAACAGAAGGGCAACAGTGCAGTGTCAGATTCCTCGCATCTCCTTTCAACATCTCGTGGAGTCACGAGGCGGTCCAACGAAGTCATCTCATGGAGTCATCTCGTGGCCCAACGAAGTACTGATGGGGTGGTCATAATAATCTGGCCACTCGGTGTATATGTGCAATGGGGTTAAATGTTTCCAAATTGCTAACACCCAGGCAGCTATCCTCGGATCTTACTAACAGCTACAGTGGAATGCAGACCTTTAGAAGTCCAACTCAGATAAAGACACACACAGTATATGGCACCTAAATGTCTTTTACCCCAAAAGGTGGCACCCGTGTAATCATCTCTTCTTCAATATATTATGAAACAGAAGTACACTTACCTTTGAGCTTAGTTTTGCTGATGGAATCATTCTGCCCAGTGCTCTCTGAAAACCGTACAGCTGTAGATGGAACAAAAACACAGATCTGAATAAATCAGAGGCTGACTACTTGGGTCCTCGAAATGCTAACACATGGTGTCAATATTGTTTTAGTTGCTGAGCTCCTGAGAATAGTAGTAGACTGGTCCACTGGCAGAGTACAATGCAGGAAGCATCCATCATTTGGGGGCGGAAGAGTTGGGGTGTCAGTCTGCATAGTGGGGTGTAGCATGTGTACATTCTAGGGCGGTAGAATAGGTTATTAGTTTGTAGAGTGAAATTAAGGATGTGTCCACCATACCGGAGAGACATATGTCTAAAAAAGGAGAATAGGTGATCAGTCTGCAGAATGAGGTGCAGGATCCATCAGTCAGTCTGGGGAGGGGAAGAGGATGGTCAGTCAGAGATCCCTATTCTAATACTTGTTCTGAAACAGTAAGAAAGTTATGACAACAAGAGGGCCAGTATGACAGGCAGGAAACTAGCATTTTAGGGGTCAGAAATGACACTTTTCATGTTCCTCCAATTAGGAAAGTAAAAATGTAGGCTAACTGAATATATTTTCAGGTGCAAAATATTGGATTCCTTCTTTAAGAAAATAGTATAGCTGAGCAAATGACATTCCCAGCACATTACTGCCACTAGATGGAGGCAAGGAGCACAGGAACTTCCATCTAGGAATGCGCTGTAAATGTCATTCACTCAGCTATACATTTGGCGAATGTCTTGTAATTCATCCCCAAACTGTTTTCAAAAGCTTGCACCTGAAAATATATTTATCTAGCCACACGATAGGGTTTCGCCTACATTTGACTACCACTCATGATGATACGACACTCTACTGCTTTGTTCCTTATATGTCAGGCTTCCACTAATGCACATACTCTGGAGACTGATCACTGAGGGGTTAATGCACAAACACTGATCAGATGAGCTTTTTATTGCTGGAACATTTTCCCCATCAGCGGGAGCCCACAGTCTATAGAACCAATGGACCCGTCAGCGGGAGCCCACAGTCTATAGAACCAATGGACCCATCAGCGTGAGCCCACAGTCTATAGAACCAACGGTCCCATGAGTGTGAGCCCACAGTCTATAGAACCAACGGTCCCGTCAGCGTGAGCCCATAGTCTATAGAACGGTCCCGTCAGCGTGAGCCCACAGTCTATAGAACCAATGGACCCGGCAGCGTGAGCCCACAGTCTATAGAACCAATGGACCCGTCAGCGTGAGCCCACAGTCTATAGAACCAACGGTCCCATGAGTGTGTGCCCACAGTCTATAGAACCAACGGTCCCGTCAGCGTGAGCCCACAGTCTATAGAACGGTCCGGTCAGCACGAGCCCACAGTCTATAGAACCAATGGACTAGTCAGCGTGAGTCCACAGTCTATAGAACCAATGGACCCGTCAGCGGGAGCCCACAGTCTATAGAACCAATGGACCCATCAGCGTGAGCCCACAGTCTATAGAACCAACGGTCCCATGAGTGTGAGCCCACAGTCTATAGAACCAACGGTCCCGTCAGCGTGAGCCCATAGTCTATAGAACGGTCCCGTCAGCGTGAGCCAACAGTCTATAGAACCAACGGTCCCGTCAGCGCGAGCCCACAGTCTATAGTACCAATGGACCCGTCAGCGTGAGCCCACAGTCTATAGAACCAATGGACCCGTCAGCGTGAGCCCACAGTCTATAGTACCAATGGACCCGTCAGCGTGAGCCCACAGTCTATAGACAACAAACGGAAAAAGACACAGCGCTCTTTTGGAAGTGTAGGATATGTGTGAATACGGCCAATGGGGATTGCTGCTCTAAAAATAGGGGGAGAAACCTGTGAACATGGGGCAAATGAGAGCGCAAATCCTGAGAGTATAAAAGGTGTAGGCACAACCAGTGTCTGTGTATTACGGGTAAAACGTACACCACCGCTCCGTGCACGTTCTTCCCTAGCCTTCTGTCACTTTATCGCACCACGTCCCATAAAAAACATCGCGATCAAGACTAGAGGTATTCTCCACTAGTCCTTCGGCACACACAGCACTTAGTTTATATTGCTTTTTCTTTCATTCATCCTTTCACCCCTGGGACACACTGCATACGACTCGCATTGCCATGACCTCTTCGGGGCCCCCATCACCAAGACTTTTGGCTCCTCAAGTAAGTTTCCAATTCCTTTTAATATTTCGTTTTGTTGATCTTTTTTGCCCGTTTTACCCGTAATACACAGACACTGGTTGTGCCTACACCTTTTATACTCTCAGGATTTGCGCTCTCATTTGCCCCATGTCCACAGTCTATAGAACCAACGGTCCCGTCAGCGTGAGCCCACAGTCTATAGAGCGGTCCCGTCAGCGTGAGCCCACAGTCTATAGAACGGTCCCGTCAGCGTGAGTCCACAGTCTATAGAACCAATGGTCCCATCAGCGTGAGTCCACAGTCTATAGAACCAATGGACCCATCAGCATGAGCACACAGTCCATAGAACCAACGGACCCGTCAGCGTGAGCCCACAGTCTATAGAACGGTACCGTCAGCGTGACCCCACCGTCTATAGAACGGTCCCGTCAGCGTGACCCCACCGTCTATAGATGCGAGTCCAGACTATAGCGCCAATGGCTGTACACAGTGTAAGGGTTGCCATGGTTGCACAATGACTCCAGCACAGAGCCCACCTTGCAGGAAGCTCTCCTCATGCTGGGTGGTGGTGAGGACCCCCTCTGTCAGGATACAGCCACAGTCTGCACACACCATCTGCTCCTGAGCGTAATGAGCATCTTCCACAATATCGGAGGAGCCGCATTGTGGACACCGTACGGGTGCAGACATCTCACGGCTGGAAATACAAAGTGCAGGAGCCACCAGAGCTGCCAGTCATCAGGAAACCACTGAGCAGCTCCGCCTACAATAACATTTCCCCCCGCCATGCAAAAAGTTCTGAAATGTCTCCGCTGTCGGCGCCATTTTGTTGAAGTCAGCCATATTACATAACGGTGATACTGGTCTTCACTAATATGGCACCCAATGCCGCTGTAACGACTGAATATGCCACAAATGTTACGTTTTTAAAACGTCTCACGAAACGTCAGAAGATAAACTCACTACAGCGGTGATACTATGTAGGGGGCATTGAGGAAACTAATCAGTGACTCCTTGTTCTCTGGTTGTTGGGAGACATCTGATGACCGGAAGTCCTGGGACCGTCCTGTGGCGTGAGTGTGAACAGTGGTGCTGTATAGATGCTGGCACTGGGTGGCGCTGTTGTTTCATATACATTTCTAGTGTACTGCTCCATGGTATGTGGATGATTAGAAGGTGTATTGATGACATTTAGGGCTCAGTCACAGCATATGCGTTGGAATATAGGAAACAATTGTTCTTTATATGTCCTCTTTTCACACCACAATGCTGCATTGAGATGGGTTGCAGAAAAATGTGGACATTTGGCATTTCTACGCAACACAACTCATTACCACTGGCTGGGTGCATAGGATTAAATAAAGTGTAATTTTGTAACATTTCAATAAAGTTTAAAATAAATAAACAGTACATCGCACCACCCGTACATAATGGAGGCCAACCCGCTCCATCTCAACATTCAGCAATACAGTACAACTGAAGCCAGTTTTTCTTTTTGCTCTGTATGAAGTGGAGAGGGATTAGAACACCAGATCTAATTTTTATTGCTGTCTGTGTCCCCATTAGGGAGATTCACCCTATTTGTCCTGGTGATTGTTTTCACGGGAAGTAAGAGTGAAAGAAAATGACACATTTTGGATTGACACCAGAACAGGAAGAGATGGAAAATTTTCCATTGGGGACACTATCATCAGGGGTTTCCCTCTCTTTGGAGGAATTTCCTTACACTTCCGATTGTGCCAATCAGACAGGAAAAAAAGGGAAATCTCCCCAATAGGACACATATAGCAAAGAAAAACACTGAGAGGGGTTATAACCCTCCCTTACTCTATCTAAAACCTTGGTTCTCAACTGGTGGGTCGTGACCCAAAAGTGGGTCGCGACCATGTGTTCAGTGGGTCGCGGCATGCGTTCCACTTTTTTAGGCGAGAAGCTCTTCAGCCTTCTCCTAGTGCAGCACTGTCAGTTCTCACGCCAAGCAGCCATTCAAAATATGTTGCACGGCGCTGAGCATCAGCTTGAGGTGGAATGGGCTGGGGATATGGCCGTGAGGAAGCTCCATCCATACATGCATTGCTTACAGCTCCCTCACGTGTCTTATAGAGGTGCCTGGACCGGAGTGACATCACATTCTGGCTCTCAGCACCTCCACAGGGCGTGCAAGAGAGTTGTACAAGCACTGCACATATGGATGGAGCTTCGTCACAGCACAGCAGCCCATACTGGATCCCAGGCTGAGGATCGACTCCAGTTTTTGTAAGATAGGGAGACTGGGTGGACCTAAAAAAAATTAAAATATACATATACATTTTTTTTTTTAGTGTGTATGTGTGTGTGAGAATGTTTTTGTGGTTGTGTGCGTCTGTGAGTGTTTTGGGGGCCCATTCACACTAGTACAGTGCGTTAATCACACTAGTACAGTGCGTTAATCACATAGTACCGTGCGATTAACGCACTGTATCACGCAATCACTCCTACTGTGCATTCTGGTGTAGGCCGCCCGCACCGGAATGTGCGGTACCCTAATGCTGTGCATTCCATTGCAGTTCGACTTGGGTCGCGACTTAATGACCGAGGACAAATGTGGGTCCTGAGGTTACACAGGTTGAGAACCACTGCTCTAAAACTATCAGGGTTATTCACAAAGGGTGAAGAGTGTGGAGAAGGCAGGTGAGGGGAACAATCTAGGACAACATAGCTGAACTGGCAAGTGAGCTGAATTGGAGAATTTTTACAAATCAGCTATTTTGTCCTAGATTGTTCACTTCTCCGGCCTTCTCCAAACTCTTCCCCCTTCCGTGAATAACCCTGTAAGTTAGGGTTGCCACTTGTCTAGGATTCACCCGGACAGTGCAGGTTTTGAATGCTGTGTCCGGGTTTCATGGCAGCAGCAGACATCCCAACTCTCCCGGACGCTCCGGGAGTCTCCCGCTATTAGATAGCGGCTCCCGGCCGCCCAGGAGAGAAACACTTCCTCCCGGAAAGGGTTAATCTGCTCGATCGATTAAACCTTTCCCAGCGATTGTTTTTTTTTTCTTTTCTGACATCGGGAGTTGCGGCCCGTTGTTAGTGAGAAAAGAAAAAAAAAGTCATACGAATGCATAGCTAGTTTGCTATTGGCTATGGCACTTTGCAATAGCCAATAGCAAACTAGCTAATGCACCCGCCCACTGCTGCTGTCAATCAGCAGAGGGGGACCTGAATGTTTCTATCAGGTCCTCTTCTGGTGATTGGAAGCAGCACAGGGCGGGTGAAATAGCTAGTTTGCTTTGCTATTGGCTATTGCAAAGTGAAATAGCCAATAGGAATCTAGCTATGCATTCTTATGCCTTTTTTTTTTTTTTCATTCTGACGACTGCAACTGTCAGAATACCTAAAAAAAAAAAAAAAGCCTGCAGATAGCAAAGAAGCTAATGCTTCCTGTGCTATCTGCCATCATTTCAGGGGGGTGCTCTCTCCCAGCCCCCCCTAACCCCCCCTCCGCGGATGGGGGGGGGAGAGGGCACCTCCCTGAAACGAGAGGGACACCTCCCTGAAATTGCTTCTTTCAGGTTGGGATCCCTGCAGCAGCTCTATCCATCTCTAGCAGCCAATCAAAAACACCTCTGGGAGTCAGTGAAATTTGAAAATCTAACAGTCAGTCAGCAACCAACTGTCACTTTCTGTCAAATTCTAACTGCCCAATGCATTCTTAGCAGCCAATCAGCAATTTGTTTTCACTGTTACAACCTTTGTTTTTTTTTTACAGACACCTCCTATGTACAGATCATGGAGCTGTGTCGTATATTAAAAAGTAGAGCTATGGGGGGTAAAAGAACACTTACATAGATCAGTGTTTGTTTTCCTGAGTCTGCCCTGTAATGTGGTTCTGGCTGTTCAGCAAAAGCGGAAGTTACATTAAGAGGCTGGCTGCTCCCAACTGCCAAATGGTCCGAGCAGCTGATTATCAACCAGCAGAGGGCGCTGACTACACTGAATTGGATGAAGGTCCAGTTGTCTGTAGTCCACACACAGGAGGGCGACAACCATGCTACACATAGGGAGCTGGGGGTCATGCTATTAAAGGAGGCTTCAGTGTTAGCAGAACCTAGCAAGATCAACAGGGATGTATTAAAGTGACATTAACCAGTTGACATCCGGGGTGTTAAACCCCCTTCCCATCCAGGCCATTTTTCAGTATTCAGCGCTGCGGTACTTTGACTGACATTTATTCCGTCATGCAACGCTGTACTGAAATGAATTTTATACCCTTTTTTTGGGGACACATAGAGCTTTATTTTGTTGCTATTTAATCACCACTGGGGGTTTTATTTTTTAATATATTAAGGAAAAACTACAGATTTAAAAAAAAGTCTCAGATCCAGCGCCGACTCCTCTGTGCTTGCTGGCACTTCCTCTCCCACGGTGTCTGTATGCAGGTGCACGCGTCCATAGACTTACCTTGTGTCTCTCCTCGCGTCCCGGCCGAAAATCTGAACTGCGCATGCGCCCGCCCCAAGAATCTTTGCGGCCGCCCGATATTTTTCAGATTTTCGGACGAGAGCGCGTGGGAAAGACAGGGGGAAGTTTAAACCTCTTTATAGGTGTTTAAAAAAAAAAGAAAAAAAGAAGGTTTTGCATATATCTACTGCTTGCTAGTAGAGGATTTAATAACCCTTTAAGCTTTTACTCACGCCATTGCAAAAAAAATAAAAAATTGCACAGGAATATTTACCAGTTAAAAGGGAATTATTTATACAACTTTAGTATTTGAGTTGATACACGTTAATAACTGTGTACTCAGAAACATTGCTAGGATCCTAAAATACCTGACACCCTCCTGGGCACCTTGATTGAAATGTTGTATGGCTTGTAGCAGGGGAATAACTACAAATCATCAATCACTTTAGGACCACCGGGCTAACTCTCTCAGTAGCGAGTGGCAGTGCCCACTATTTCAAATGCAATTCTTGCAATTGATCTCATCATGAAGAATGTATCAAGGGCAGGCAGGAGGAAAGCTGCAAGCATAGTCAGTGCAGTACTAGGGAGCAGTGCTGGGGGCTAAAAGTTATAGTAGCTCTAATAATAATAATAACCATGCAGAGATTTTATATTATGATGAAATGATTCATAGTCCTGCACACACTTACTCTTCACCCCTAATACAATCATCTCTAAACTCTAGTTTTATTTTTTTTTGGTACAGCCACAAACATCAGCCCTCCTATAAGGTTATAGCAGAGGTGAACCTTTGGGATTTGTAACTGCATTGGGCATCTGTTGATAATTTCAGTCTGTAGCAAAAGGTCAGAGGGCAATAAAATGAGACTGCTGAGATAGACGAGCAAATGCTTCTTGCTGCACAGAGGGGGATATCTGACTAGAAGATCCTGAGGTCTGATTTCAGCCCTTCTATATTGAAAATGTCACACTTTAGTTTTCCTAATAGGTCCTGCTAATGGGGCCCCCTCCTACCACAGGCCCCTTTGCATCTGTCCTGGCTGCTATAGCTATTGTTACACCACTGGCATTAACACATCAACAACTCCAAATTGGCTATCCTGAACATTATTGTTTCCCCACAAACGGTATCCTTCCTGCAGAGTAACTTTCAATATGCGTGGTTCAAGACACATATTACCTCCTTGGGGATCGAGCTATTATGGGATGCGAATGAGCAATATAAGCTTAACATCCCCTACTTGGTGAAAAATATCTCA